GCAAATGGAATTATTTCAAAAGGAAATGGCATATAAAATCAGGAGCTCTCACTAAAACTATACAAGATGCCAGTCAGACCACAACTGAAATACTGAACAGCTTTGAGCCCTTATCCAAGTACTGGCATGGGAGGAAGTCCAGAAGAAAAGGTTCACTGAGTTGATCCCAAGTATGAAGAGTCTTTTTTTTGAAATTTAAAAAAAGGACAGGTTGATTAGTTTGAATTCGCATTCATTGGAGTTTGAAAGTACAAGACAGGACCTTAAAGATTTTTAGTATGACAGAAGTTCTAAGTTCTGAAGGGTCACTGGACCTGAAATGTTAACTTGGCTTTCTCTCCACAGATGCTGCCAGACCGGAGGTTTCCCAGCAAATTCCATGAGCTAGATGGAAGGGTAAATAGACCTCATGGGAAATTTCACGTTCAGAACAGTATCCAGGTTTGAAAAAGGCTTAGCAGTAATATCCCTCTAAACTGAGGCAGGATCTAAATGTCTTCTCTCAGAATTGCTCCTCCTGCCCCCACCACGACCCCTGGTTCTGGACTCCCCTATCACCAGGAACTGCATTTGCCCAGTCTAAACTGGTTTGACTTTTCAATAAGTTTCTAGGAGACTATCCTGCCCCATCCCATCTCCAATTTCTAAATTCCAGTGAACATAGGACTAATGCATGAAGAGAGACTGAATTGGTGAGGACTGTCATCACAGGAATCAGCTTAGTAAAACTTTGGCCCTTGATATCCAGAACATATATCCTCAAATACAGAGGCCATAACCGCATGCAATGTTTCACATGTGGTCTCACCAAGGCCCTGTCCAGTTGTAGCAAGACATACTGTTCTTCTTTCAAAGCCTCTTGTTATGAAGGTCAACATGCCATTTGCTTTCTTTACTGCCTGCTGCACCTTCTTGCCTACTTTGCACATCCAGGTCTCACTGCGCCTTGCCCTTTCCCAATCTATCACCACTCAGATAATAAACTGCCTTATTTTTGCTATCAAAATGGATAACCTCTCTTATCCACATTATACTGCATCTGCCAAGCATCTGTCCACTCAACTTGTCCAAATCACAAAGTAACTCAGCAACCTCCTCACTGCTCAACTCACCCACCCAGCCTTGTGTCAGTGTCATTATGTATATTCAAGGAGCAGATGGCCAGATTTCTAAGAGTTAGAATCCACAGAATCCCTACAGTGTGGGAGCAGGTCATTCGACCTATCAAGTCCACACTAACCCTCCAAAGAGCCATCCCACCCAGATTCACCCCCTACCCTATTCCTGTAACCCTGCATTTCCCATGGCTAACCCAGCTAACTTACACATCCCTGGTCACTATGGGCAATTTAGCATGGCCAGTCCACCTAACCTTCACATCACTGGACTGTGGGAGGAAAATTGGAGCAACTGGAGAAAACCCACACAGACAGAGAGAACGTCAGTGCGGAGTTTGCACAGTCACCCAAGGGTGGAGTTGAACCCAGGTCCCTGGCACTGAGAGGCAGTAGTGCTTACCCTTGAGCCAATGTGCCAGGGAATGACTGGAGCAGTGCCTATATTAAATGAAGCAAACATTTTAGCCCTGCATGCCACAGCCAACTGAGGCTCATACAGTAAATGAAGTTTTAATTTCCAATATTAGAAAAACACTTTAGTGGCAATTCATTTTAATATCATAGTGAAGATTTTTTTCCCCCGGGGAGGCTTTTACAAAAAACTGTTGAATTAATCTTTTGACCGCTTTTTTCATTCATTTTGTTTGTGGGATGTGGGTATTACTGGCTGGGCCAGCATTTGTTGCCCATCTCTAGTGGTCCTCGAGAAAGCAATTGTGAGCTGCCTTCTTGTGCTGCAGACTCCCAGTTCTGTTTGGGAGGGAATTCAGCTGCCCCCTTGAAGTGGAGGATAAATTTGAGGATAAAGCAGGATAGGGGAGTCGAGGATTACCAGTTACCATAATCTTATTAAATGGCAAAGAGGACTCAATGTGCCAAATAGCCTGTGTCTTATTACTATGGAAAGTAGGGCAATAATGACTTGTTCAAACCAAGAATCAGCACAGCCAGTAAAATTTGAAAAAGTTCTACTGCTCTGCAGAACAGTCAGCTATCACAATCAAGTTATCTGCCACTCAAACACAGTGGCTCACATATAAAGGATGGCTTGTTCAAACTATTGAAACACTGACACCCATGGAGCCATACATCAATAGAACTAGGTGCCACGAGCAGAGGAAAATCAAGAAATAAAGTTGCAATTGTTAAGGATATTACGGCTATCACTATCATGCTACACATTCGTGTTTGTTACAATTAAAAATCATCTAGCTGGTGTTTTGTAAAGAGTGAGGTTATAGGGTGGAGTGTGACCTTGGCTTCCTTACTTGGAGCACACTTCAGTACACTTGCAATAAGTCTACCATTTCCTTTAGCTAAAATAAGTAGCACATTAAGGTAGCAATGGACTTTAAAATAAAAGTGTGCAAACCAACAAAGCAATTCAAATGACATTACAGAAAAGATAAACAAAAACAGCCCATTTAGTTCAACCGGTTTTATCTAAACTGCACTAAGTCTGAAGTCTTAACTTTATTCACTGCCCTGTCCCCAGTTCTTTTACAACTATTCTTAAATTATGCCCTGATTTCAACTTCAAGGGGAAAGCTGAACTCCCTCCCAAACAGAATTGGGAGTCTGCAGCACACGATTGCTTTCTCAAGGACCACGAGAGATGGGCAACAAATGCTGGCCCAGCCAGTAATACCCACATCCCACAAACAAAATGAATGAAAAAAGGCGATCAGAAAAGATTAATTCAACTGTTTTTTTTTGTAAAAACCTCCCCAAAGGAAAAAATCTTCACTATGATATTAAAATGAATTGCCACTTAAAAAAAGTATTTTTTCTAATATTGGAAATTAAAAGCTTACTGTATGAGCCTCAGAGTTGGCTGTGGCATGCAGGGCTAAAAGGTTTGCTTGGTTTAATATAGGCAGTGCTCAAGTCAGTTCTGACACTAAGCAATAGTTGATGCTAACAGATTGTAAAGCTATACAAAAACATATGATTTAAAGCATACCTACATTCTGCATGAATGAGGTACTCTAAAAAGATCCTCTGAACAAAGCAATAAACTGCTGGAGAAAATTGCTTAATTTACATTCAAAAAAGAGAATTTTTTGACAAAATATTTATGCAGCTATATTGTCTTAAAAAGACAGCAAAACCATTTTTTGGTGTCGACCAAATAGAATGCCAAAAAAGCATTCACTAGGCTAGATGGAAGGGTAAATAGACCTCAATGGGAAATTTCACATTCACAACAGTATCCAGTTTGTGAAAGGCTTAGCAGTAATATCCCTCTAAACTGATGCAGGATCCAAATGTCTTCTCTCAGAATTGCTCCTTTCAAGCCTACAGCACATAACTGTGCCAAGGAATTTAGAGGGACCATATGCTCAAAAGAAATGTAAGGGAATGTTGGTCACTATCATGGCACATTGCAATTGCAGGTGCAATTTAACAGCCAAATGTCCTTTGCCAGCATAAATTCAACTTAAAACCAACAATGGCAAATAAATCAGATGGCAATCACTCTGGAAAGAGAGAATTCTTTACCTACATTCTCCAAGATAAGGGACTGAGAAACTTAGTTTTACATAGGAAACGGGAAATTGGAGGCTCTTTCAGTCTTAGAAACAGACAAATCACCTGATTCAGGTGAACTGCATCCCAGAATGCTGTGGGAGGGGAGGCTGGAAATCGCAGGGGCTCTGACAAATTTTTAATTCCTCTCAGGGGAAGTGCCAAAGGACCAGAGGGCAACTAATGTGGGGTGGTAGAGATGAACCAGGAAATTACAGACCGGTGAGTCTCAAGCCAGTGGTAGGGAAACTATTGGAGAAAATTCTGAAGGAGCAAATTAATACTAACTTGGAAAGGCATGGGTTAATTAAGGATAGTCAGCATGGCTCTGTTAAAGGGAGATCATGCCTAACAAATTTGTTAGAAAGATTTTGAAAATGTGATCAAGTGTGTGGATGAGGGAAGTTCTGTTGATATAGTTTCTACGGATTTTAACAGAGGTTTGAGAGTTACAAGTTAGCCAGGAAGGACCTAAAGAGAGTGCTAAGAAGAGCCAGGAGGGGACATGAGAAGTCTTTAGTAGGTAGGATCAAGGAAAACCCTAAAGCTTGCTATAGGTACGTCAGGAATAAGAGAATGACTAGAGTAAGATTGGGGCCGGTCAAGGACAGTAATGGGAAGTTGAGCGTGGAGTCCGAAGAGATAGGAGAGGTGCTAAATGAATATTTTTCGTCAGTATTCACACAGGAAAAAGACAATGTAGTCGAGGAGAATACTGAGATACAGTCTATTAGACTAGACAGGATTGAGGTTCATAAGGACGTGTTAGCAATTCTGGAAGGTGTGAAAATAGATAAGT